CGAAGAATAGACCTTTACATCTCATACCATCAAGATTAAGGTCTTCAACAAAGGAAACAAAGTCACCCAGTGTTACAAGCAACAGATTTTCGTTCATGGTTTAGGAGAGTACAATTAAAATCTCCGAACCAAGGCCTGTCCATCTGTAGAGTAATATTCCTTAGTTTAGCCTGAAGAACTTTCCGTGTAGCCAAACTCGGACTAGCATATAATGAATGGACTAATTCTGGCGTCGTTGCACCTCCACCTTCCAATTAGTCTCATTCCATAAAAACAAGAGTCCACCGCTAAATCCTCTTGCATCCATAATCTCCAAATTATTAAATCATGAAGCCTTCGCCACTTGACAAGCTTTGACCCCACTCAAACATATTTCTAGAATTGCTACGAACTCAACCTTATATCTACGTTTTAATTCTTTGATGAGACACAGAAATGATTTTGAACCAGTGCCTCTTGCATTCCAAAACATAACCTTACAAAGAGTGGCATGTAGTTAGATCCATATTAAATGACCCATTATTCAAACCTGCACTCGGGCCAACAGATGACTCATGCATCACTTGTGCAAGAGCTGCAAAATAGCAAAAGAATTTGGGCTGTCCACAATCGGCCAACTTCCTCCTTTGATAGGGGCTGCTTTTTCTTTCGCTCTTATCTCAACTTTAACTGGTGCTTTACGTTTGGTGCCCACTGGGACCCATGCATCTTTTTTATTAAAAATATTCTTTTCAAAATATAAGACGCATAGCTCTATTTATGATTAAGAGGTTGGCTGAGGTTTGAGGAAATTTTAAATTTAAATTTTCAATCAAATAAAATTAAATTAAAACTCAAACAAAATAATTAATTAATAGATGAAGTTCTTCAATATTAATATATAGATAAAATGAACTTCTAGCTGTTAATTTATAATCTTAGTATAATTTAAATTCATATTCAATTTAAATAGATTTTATATTAATTTAATTTTTGAACGAGTATATTTTTATTATCTATTATCTAATTATATAATGATGGAATAATGTGATTAATTCATATTTTTTGTTTAGGTTATAAATTCAGAAATATAGATGAGATCTAAATCTAACCTAGAAAAATAATTAGAGTTCACTATATTCAATTCAAAATTAATATGAAAAATAAATTTTGAATAATTGGATTTTATATAATTAAATTAAAGAATGATAGAATAACAGGTTCAAAAATATTTCTATTTATTCTACGTAATTTAAAAATGTAGACAATATTGAAATCTAACATAAAAAGTAATTACATTCATAATAGCTTTTAAGAAAATAATTTAACTATATAAGTCATATATATAGTCAAAGGAACAACTATAAACCAAACCCTATATATATATATATATATAGAGTAAAAAGAAATCAATGTCATTATTAAAAATATATCGTAATGAGTTTTTTAAAAAAAAATAAAAATATAAATTTAAATAAAAAATCATGTTTAAAATAAAATAAAAAATTAAATAGAACATATATTTGAAAAGCACGATTAAAAAATAATTAAATTATATTTAAAATTTATCTTAATAAAATAAAATTTAGAAATGCTATATTATGATCTCTAAAAGAGCATCATTAAATAATAAGAATAAAAAAATCTAAAGTTATTAAAAAAATATTAATTGATTAGAATTAATATTTACACTTAATACTAATTTTAATTTTTGTATTTAAATTGATTAGAATTGTATAATATCTTCCAGCATTTTATTACAAATCCTAATTCATAAAATTTACTTAGTAAATAACTAACAAAATGAGATAAATGAGATAGAATGATATAAATCTGCAAATATACATAAAGATATTATATATTTTTTCATAATTAAATAATAATTTGAATCTCAAACATATTTTATAATTTTATTTTTCAAATGAGACCTGCTAAAATATAAAAAAAATTAATTTTATTATTGTACAAAAGTATAAAATAATCAGATTACTTCATTTTAAATTATTCGATTTGAATTTCAAATATATAAATCTAGTTAAAATAGAATAAAATAAATATAAAAAATAATAAATTATCTTGAACCTAACTCCAGACCTGAATTCAAAACACATAATCACAAGATAGATATTCTAAAAAGAAATTCAAAACACATAATCACAAGATAGATATTCTAAAAAGAAGAGCTGCAGCAAACCTACAAATAATTATATGGCATTCGTACATAACCTTTTATTATTCGATATGTATGTATGTATGTATAATGATAATGACTAGCTGCAACAGTATATGATATTATGAATGGTTTGTTATCTTGGTTTTTTTTCTTTGGTACAGTGTTATCTTGGATTGTTGATCTATTTATTTATTTTATTTGTTATCCAAAGTATCGAAATTGTAAAACTAATTTTTCAAAAAATTTGAAGGTCATTTAATAAGGGTTTCTCATTTTTCAAAAGATATTTTTCAATACATACTATTAAGAATCAAATATTGAAATGACATTGTTTGGGTCTAAAGTTAAAATGACAGCCCAATAAAAAAAAACTAAGATAAAATACATAATTGGCTCAAGGAACTTAGCTCAGTCCATCACCAAGGAAGAAGGATGTGCCACACATGAGCTCAATGCAGCCCTCAAGACTTGGGATGACTACTCATATGAGACCATTGAATGGATATGGTGTATTATGTTATGAATCTACCGAGCCATGCTAGTGAATTCTTGATATCTCACAAACGGGCTCCAGATTTTGTGGGAATAATAGTCTCAGCTGAATCAGTATAAAAGGAAAAGAAGGTTGCAAAGAAGACAATAGACTTCGACAACAATCGATTCTCAATATTCATTAATACTTTTTTAGCATTTCATTTTGTATTTCTAGATAGTTTTTAAAATCATTTTTAGCTTTGTAACTTTTATGATTTTGTATCCTGCACATTTTATTAATCAAGCACTCATTATTTTAATTTTTTTGCACTTTCATATCTAAGTAAACTGTAGTTAGGGAATCTAAAAAATATTTGTTATCTTTTAAGAGTCAGCATTTTTGACATGTTTGATTTTTTTTGTTGGATATTTATCTTTGCCATATATGCCACATTCCTTTGGTGGATTGTTGATCCGTTCAGATGTGTGTGTATTTTTGTGCTTGTAAATCAAAGTTGTTTCGGGAACAATCTTGGACTTGATCGACACTGTTTTGGGCCTTTGCTAGGTTGCACAATGAACAAAACACATCATAACACCTAGTAAAGGCCCAAAACAGTGTCGATCAAGTACCAGATTGTGCCCGAAACAACTTTGATTTACAAGCACAAAAATACACACACATCTGAACGGATCAACAATCCACCAAAGGATGTGGCATATATGGCAACGATAAAAATCCAACAAAAAAAATTGAAACATGTTAAAAATGCTTACTCTTAAAAGATAACAAATAATTTTTAGACTCCCTAACTAAAGTTTACTTAGATGTTAAGCCTTTTAAATATTTTATTGAAACTAACAATTAACTCATTAAATCTCTTAAAATAATTTTTTTTAAATTTATCCTAATTAAAAATAAAAAGGGAGAAATATTTTTTATCATATTTATAAATTATTTTTAGTATATTTTTCAGAATTAAATAAAATTTTAAACTTTATTAACTTTATTTTAAATTTAATAAGTTTTCACTGTTAACTCTATCAAATGCAAGAAGAATTATTTTTAATAATTTTTTATAATATTTAATAAGGACAGGAAGCAAAAAATAAATATGAAAAATAGTAAAATTTTTATAAATATGGTTAAAATTAATCTTTTTTGTCATATAAGAAGAATCAAAGGAGAATACAGTATATGATAAACTATAAAATTAAAATTTTTTGGCCTAATATAAACTTAAATTTATAATAAGAGTAAAATTAAAAAATTATAATAAATGACTCTTCATATGCCTTATACTACTCCCTCTTTTCATAAAAGTTCATTATTTAATTGAAATTGCATTAAATTACAGTAATTTTTTAATTTTATCTTTAATAATGTCAATTAATATCATAGTAGTGATGGGTAAACCATATAATTAATATATTTTTTTCAAAACAATAATAAAATTATTTAATTATTTAAAAATTATCATGACACATCTTATATTTATAAATAAAATAAAGTTTTAAAAAATATCGTACATAAAGACGGAGGGAATAAGAATCAAATAATTCTTCTGAAAAACATCACATAATAAAGATGGAGTGTGGATGCACACACACCTGTGTGTGTGTGTGTAAAAATTGTCGTATTTCAATAATGGTCAAACTCGAAAAAGACACCTCACCTATCATCTTATAATTATTTTTCTCCTCCAATATTTTAAACTCTTGAAATCTCTCCCGCTATCCCTCTCTCCACGCAACACAACCAACACATTGTCGTTTTATATATATAATAATGTGATGCCTCATTTATACATGTGAATGACGATGATAACAATTACGTCTTAATTAGCTAAAAATAATGGTGTCTATAGCTAATATGGCATCCACTTTTCCTATCCATTAATTTAGCAATTATTTAGCACACCTTGACATTGTCATTAGTTTAATATGAAAATCTGAATTAAACTGCATAGAAGTTAATGAGATTTAATCTGGTCATAGAAGTAAAATTTTCATATGTGTGTGTATTATGATATACTTCTTTCATCCAAAAATATAAAGTCTATTTTTTAATAAAGTTAGATGTTAAAAATATAAGGTATTTTTAATTTTTCAGTATATAATTAATAATTTTTTTTAAAAAATATTTGTAATAAATAAATCAGTTCTCTTTTAAATAAAATACCTTATTAAATAAGGATAAACTTGAAAAAAATAGTATTGATTTAAGGACAATTAACTAACTAAATTATTGGGTGTATAATTTTATTAAAAATGTCTTATATTCTTGAATGAAAGAAATTAACTCTTATCCCAGCCAAAAGAACGGCACATGCATGGAATATGAGACACCCAACAGTAGCTAGGCAAAGCAAACTACAAATATTCTCTTTATTGAAAGGAAATGCAGATTACTGATTTATCAACACAGGGAAAGAAAGGAAATTACGAAAAGCCATACAGGACTAACCAAAACAGATCTGTAAGTGTGCAAGAGGGTATGATGTGAGAGAATGTTTATTATGAGAGCAAGGTTGAGATGGCACTAGCTAGCTGGCTAGTAGTATATATGTTTATTGCAGAATTGCATCACTGGATAGAGCAAGAATCAGGACATGAATCATAAACGACACGGTAACAATAAGGGTCATAGGGTCGCTTAACGCAGCAGGAGGGACATGAGATCCAAGGAGGACACTGACCATAACACGTAGGTTGTGGTGGTCGAACACAGATAGAAGAAGCACACTGACCACTACACTTGTAGCTCCCACATCTGACGCAGGCCTTGCAGTCCCCATGGCACTTCAAGGCTTCGCATCTCGTGCATGGCTTGCAATCACCATGGCACTTTGAGCTTTGGCATCTTGAGCAGGGCCCACACTGCCCTGAACATTTGTGGCAAGGATTATTATAGCAGGCAGGTACAATACAAACTGTACAGCTTCGGACTTTGTCCTTGTCCTTGTCCTTGTCTTTGTCTTTCTGATCTTTGCCTTTGCCTTTGCCGTCTTGAGGCTTAGGTGGCTTGTCTTCTTCCACCGTTAGAACAGTGACGCCCCTGAACTTCTTCTTTAGCATCCTGCCCAGGCAAACCGTGTCCACATCTTCACCCTTCACCACCACTCGATCTTTCTCGTTCCCTTCTATCGCCACTGAACTCACGCCTGCATAAACATAATCACTTCCATGTTCGTAACCCTTCATTTAGATAAGAAGAAAAATAAAGAGGAAGGAAAACTAGAAGGTAAAACTTTTAAGAAGGGCTGAAGGTCATTTTTACCCTCGAACTTTTCACATAGGACTTGCAGGTGGTGGTTTGGGGTCATTTTTATCCTTGAAAACGGTTAAACTTCGGCACCTGCTTTTATCACCGTTCATATGCCCTATTTACAACCATTATCAATTTATGTAGACAAGTTTTGTTGACATTTTTTGAATCACAGGGCATCAAAGTGAACTCGTTTCAGTAACAAAAAATGACCTTTAATCATTTTAAAAATAGTAAAAAAAAAATGTTTGCCATTTTGAAAAATTTCTCCTCCATTTTTTCTTCTTGCTTTTTTTTCTATTCAAACTAAGCCAGTTCTATCTAAATTGTGTGTGTAAACTATGATATATATATATATATATATATTTTCTTCTTGCTTTTTTTCTATTCAAACTAAGCCAGTTCTATCTAAATTGTGTGTGTAAACTATGATATATATATATATATATATATTTATGCGGTACAAGCACATGTATATATGTGTAATTTACCTTTTACGGAGGAAGCTATCTTCAGTGCCTTGTTTCTGCAACTCTCGCATTCCATGTTGACCTTTATTGTAAGCTTTTGCTGCATCCATATATGTGTGGCCAGTTCAAGTACTAGTAACTAAGGTAATTGCTTCTTATAATTATGTATAACAGAAATTAAAAGGAACTAATTTCAAGAAACTGGTCAGCACAGGAAGTGATGAAATAGATTATAGATAGATCTTACCTTCATGATGGCTTTTGGAAACAAATAATGGCCGATCGCGTTGTTGGGAAAACTGAATTGGTAACATATAATACCAAGTCGTTCTTCGTCTCGTTCTTTTGTGCCTGTGGGATGTGTATTATATTTATGGATGTATTATGCACCACGACAATCAGGGATATATATGCAATCAGAAAACAAAATTAGGGAGAAGATAAAAGTTATAAATATTCATAATTATTAAAATACTCCATCCGTCTAAAATTATAAGATATTTTTAGAGAAAATTTGACATCTTAAAATATAAAATACTTTGACAAAAAATAAAGTTTCATTAATGATATTTTTTCAATATTTTTCTTCTTATTATATTCTCTCTTTAATATTTCTTCCTAAATGAAGGGTTAAATGAATAACATTTTTAAAAGTTTATAGTTTTATTTTTTTAAAAAAAATTTGTAAAATGTACTTTATAATCTGTATTGATATATGTAATTTTATTTAAATATATATTATAATTTGAAACAAAATGAGTATTATTTTAAAATTTTATTAGATTGATATAATAGCATGATTTACAAAAGTTGAAAAATAATATTACATTGAACTGCACCTGTGAAATATATAAAAATTTATACACACAACAAAAGTTCAAAAATTACTATAATTTTGTAATACTTTTTTGTATTCATTTTCTAATATATACAACAAAATTATTTTTGTATTTATTAGAAAAGTACATGGTTAAAAATAGGAAAGAAATAGATTTTATAAAAGGACGAGAAAAATATTATTAGTCATTATTAAATTTTTGCGATAGTTTTTTTAGAATGAATAAGGGGGAATGGTTTACGCATAATCTATGTGGTGGTGGTGAATGGAGTCTGAATTTTAGGGTGACAGTGTTGTTTTTATGGTTTTGGAGAAATAAAATGTTTGATGCTGATTTTTAAGTCTGAGAAAATTTCTGAGGTGTCAATTGTACAGTATACAGTAAATTTATATTAGCTTGATTGGGAGAGGAGTTGGTGAGGGGGAGACGGATATGGTGTGGGATTAAGTGGTTTCCACCGGCAAGAAGTTGGGTTAAATTGAATGTAGATGGGGCTGTAAGAGGTCAAAGGGTATTGTAGGTTGTAGTGGTTTGATTAGGAATGAGGATGGCAGATGGTTAGGTGGTTTTGTGAATAAGGTTGATATTTGCACAGCTTTTGAGGTAGAGATTTGGAGGTTTGGTCAGGTTTTAAATTGGCACAAACACTCAATTTTCAAAAGCTTATTGTGGAGACTGGTTTGATGACGGTAACTAGTATGCTTTATAAGTTATTTGATGGTAATGAGACTGATAATAGAATTTTCTCTAACGTATTAAGGGTTAGAGACCCCAGTTGGGAGGTGAGAATTGTACATACTTATAGGGAGGGAAATTGTTATGCGGATTACTTAACTGGTTTAAAGCTTGAGGAAAGAAGGGGGATTGTCTTTTTTACGGGATCCTCCGAGATAATTACTGGATTTATTGTACATAGATCAAATGGGCATGTTTAAGCCTAGGCTGGTCAATATGAAATAAAAGGTTGGGCATTTACCCCGTAGTTTACCAAAAAAAAAAAAAATATTATGAGTATTTAAATACCGTGCTTTTGGTTCTAGAATTCTATCAACTGCTGGTGCCATCCAAACTTGCTTGGGAAGCAGCTGACATGTGGCTTAATGGTTTTATATTTTGGCTGAAATTATAATGTGCTTTTTATTCTAAGATACCAACGTTTTGGTGTTTTTATTTATATGTTTTCTCAATTGTTTTCATAAATTTTAGGCAGCAATTAATATTTTTAAAAAATTTCTTAAAAAAGATATTTTTTTCAAAAAAAATTAATTAAGAGATATATATATATATATATATATATGAGGGAGAGGGAAGACTATTTAATAATGAACGATAGCAATTTTAAAATCATCAACTAATTTTTAAGTTTATTTAAAGTTAATAAATTTCATATGTAAAAAACCACCGAGATGATGTTAATCTGTTTTTCATAAGTATAATGCATAGGCTCCATGAACGATGAACAAAACCTCCTCCAAAGTATGTAGAGCAAATGAGGGACCTTTCCAAACTACTTCTTTCAGACTAAAATATAGGGTGTCAGTAATTAATTTATGATTTTTAAAAAATATTAGTTGAAATTTTAATTTCTTAAAAAAATTATATTGTTTTAATTTCACCTTCATTAAATACCCTGTATGAATGCTTTGACAATGATAATTAAGTGTGTGTATAATTTTCAATTTACATTTGGCAAAAGCATATTTGAAGGATCCATCTATTTGTTGGATTTGATAAAAATATATTTTAAATGTAGTTTGAATGAGCTTTTGAGAGTTAACCAAATGGCCTCTAAAATTTTAATGCATCATCTTTTAAAAAAGCAATAAATAAAGTAAAGTTATAATTGAAAAAAAAAACAATTGTGAAAGTCATCCAATATTTTAGATTTTAGACTAAATAAAATTTGTAAAATATGTCTTATATTATGGCCAAGATCAGGGGTGGAAAGAGAGGGGACTAACAGGGGCCATAGTCCTCGTAACTTTTTAATTTTTTTAGTAAAATATAGGGTTATATATTTTTGACTCCCCTAAATTAACACATTATAAAAGTTATAAAATACTAGAAAAATTTTTTATTTTAATTTTATATATAGTATTTTACATATTTATAGAGCAACTATTTTAATGGCTTAAAGATAGAGTTGTCATGAGATCTACTTATTTTTAACAAGATAATACTATACACGCTCTTAATATATTGATGTTATTTTATTTTACTTTTATTTTATATTTAATGAAAGAAATTGTGAGAATTATTATTAACATACTTTGTTAACTATTGCAACAAAAATATCAAATATATTAAATGCTATATACTTGATATCTATTATAAAATCATTCATCAAAAAGTTAAGAGATTTGGTGAAGATGTTCTTCTAAAAAAATTACTTTCTTTAAAATAATCAAGCTATTAAAATTTATTATATGAATAGTTTTTACTCTAATATAATTTGATCTCATTGACATAAAGTTTTTATGACAATTGAGCATTATTAATGTGTTGAAATATTTGTTCACCACAATTATCAATTGAAAAAATTAGATAGTAAATTCAATAAGTAAGTAATATAATTTATTACATTGAACAGAACTTTAAATTTTAATGATGTATTTAAATCATTTAATGCTCATAGGGATGATATTATTTTCACCAATTTAATGATAATTTATATTGAGAAAAAATTGCTAAAACATTTATTGTAGACATAATAATTAATAATTTTTATATAATAAAAAATTAATTAGCAAAATTTTATATATATATATATATATATTGTTATACATGTGTAAAATTAAATATAAATATATATGTTGAAATATTTATATCATATTGTGATATATATATATATATATTTAATTTTTTTAATTATTATATATATTTTATCATCTTAATCACCTTAATAAAAATTTGTAGTTCTGCCCTTGGCCAAGATAGAAGTATATCTTGACACAGGCATAAGCATATAATTATTTATATGTAAAGCTGGTCGGTCGCCCCTAAATTCAAAACCCGATTCCGCCCTTGAAGGCAAATGGCAGGCATAATGGTTTCGGTAGGACTAATATTATGTTATCATGTAATGGTAATATTCTCAAGCGTCCGTTTGGATGATATAATCAGATAATGGCTTTTGAAACAAATTACGTGCTAAAAATTAGATGTCTATGAAATTTGAGGTAAATTGTAGTCCGAATTTATGGGACACTTTTGCTGATAATTCAGTGTTTCTAGATATAAGACACTTAAATAAAAATAATATTTTATTAATTATACTTGTTATAATATTGTTATTTCCTTCTCATTATATTTTCTCTCTCAATTTAATGTTTTGCAAATATAAATTTATATTAAGTAAAGGACATTTTTAAAAATTTATATTTGTGCTTTAAAACAATAAAATTGGTAAAGTATATTTAATTATAAACTTTATTGATATGTGTAATTTTTTCACAAAGAAACTAGAATGAGGGGAGAACTATAATTATGATTTATGAATATTCATTATAAGATTTTTTTTTTTTAAAACAAAAGTTTTGATGAGTTGGATTCAAGGGCTTATCAAAGTCAAAACATGCCTTTAAATTCAGTTAAAGAGTACTTATAAATTACGCACTAACAAAGTTCTCATATCAAGATTTGATCCTATAATTTTATGAATTAAAAGTTAAATTTTTACTAACTTAATCAACCTTTATTGATATTTATTTTAAGATTTTATACTTAAGGTGGATGGTTGTATCTCATGCTATCACAATGCTTGTGAATTTAAAAGTACATATCTCATATTAACAGGCTTGCCCATTTAGTAGAATAAAATTTTAATCATGAGAAACTATATTATTATTTTTGATAATATTTTTAGAGAAGGGAATAGATACGTGAGTTGGACTATTCTTCATGCATCAAATAACAATCTAGTCACTGCAATTTTTGTAAATTTGCCTTTAGATTGGAGAAGCTTTATATACTCTAACATAAACTAATTTTATCTATGCATGATTTTCGTGGCCTTGTATTATAAAGAAAAAAAATAAAAATTCATGGATTCTAGCTGGCTTTTCAATTTGAAAAGTCAAGATAAAAAAAGTATTATTCCCTAACAACTTAACTAACCCCTTTGAACTAAAAGATAAACGTACCGTACACGAGGTCCTAGGGTTCAAATTATACTAATATAATCATCAATATTAATATAATGTGAAATATAAAATATATTTAAACAATATAAAAAAATAAACAAAATAAAACGGGGATCTATATATCCAAATTAATTCCCACCATTTACTGTTTTTTAATATGTCAAGCTTGGCTACTTCAGTGGCCATAGTGGACACAAAAAGACTTATAAGCTAATTGTAAAATTTAGTCAATGCATAATTGAATGACAATAATGAAGGGATTCCAAATCAATGGGATAATTCCAAATAAACTTGTGTTTCATCTACTTGTCCCCATATAGAAGGAATCAGAGTGTAGTATGTTACTGTATTATATTTTCTGTCATGTCCTTCAGATGAGACCCACCAACTTCCCTGTGCGGACACGTACGGGTGTATGTATGTATGTATCCAATTCTAAAAATGCCTACTTGCGTAAATAAATATCAGGTTATAAAACATAAAATTATGATACGTCAGCTGGTTTTGGTAATCAATGACAAATTCCCAACCTAGGCAATCTAATTAATAACAAGAATTTATCGGTTGTTTGATTCGTTTTATATTTTTATCTTCTTCAAACAATTCTTAAACTAATTTTTCAGAATAAGTTTTAGAAATGAAAAATAAAAAAATCTGTTTAAATCATTTAAAGTGGTGAAATAAAGGGTGAGAGAATTAGTTGTTTTATTAACATAATTGTCCTTAATAAACACATAATATATTTTTCCATTTCTTTAGTTTTGCAAAATAAAAAATAAGGTAAATAAGTAAATTACCTCCTGAATTTTAGGTCCAATAATACCATAAAACCTGAGTCTGTTTATTGTACAAGTTGTTTTTTTCACTTTTAAAAATGATGCAATTTAATTTCTACTATTAATAAAAATTAACTTTGATTGTAAGTTGACCAGAAATAACATAAAAAATTACATAAAAGGACAAAAAAAATTTAGTCATTTTCTATAATTTTTTAGATCATTCTATATAATTTTTGGATCCTTGATTATAACTTTTTTTAATCATTTTCTGTTATTTTTGAGGTCACTATAATTTTTTTGATCAACTAACGATTAAAGTTAACTTTTATTAATGACAAAGGTTAGATTGCACCATTTTCAAAAGATGAGAAAATAATTTACACGACAAACGAGTTCAAGGACTATGATATTACTTGACCTAAAATTTATGTGGTCATTTTCTTATTTATCCTACAAAATAACCAAAAAAATAAAAAAATGTTTTATTTTTAATTTTTTCACAATAATGTTTAAATTTTTTGTTCCTAGAATCCATAGTAGAAAATGCATTATCAACATGATTTAATATTTAGAGAAAATAACACTTGAGGACCCTATAAGATAATTAATTATATATATTGAAATTACAAATTCTAGACATTTCACATATGGATCAAATGACTTAAGGGAAATTAAAATTTTTCTGTGTTGGCCAAAATGCTCAGATTTATTTTTCTTACCTCAGTTTTGATGTTTTTTAGTACCTATCTTTTTACATTGCATCCCGAATAACACATTGCTTTTTAAAAAATAAAAATATATTAAATATTAATTAATTATTTAAATTTTAGATTATTTTTTACTAAGTGACTATATATTTGAATGCATTATTATAAACATTTTATTAAAATAATTAGAATATTTATATTGTTATATCTTTATTATTTTTAATTAATAAAATAGTTTAAAATAATATTCAAAATGTATTTTAATCTTCATTTTTAAAATTTAAGATTCACCCTTCATTTAAAAAATTTGAGTATTTTATAATCGTAAAGTATTCCAAAGAGAATAAAAATACAATTAATTTTAAAATCAAAATCAATTTTTAATTGACAATTAAGATATTTAGATTGGCTCTAATAAACCCGAAACCTAAGAGTATGATAACCAAATTAGGTTAGATGAGATCTTTTGAAAAATTGAATTTCAAGCTCGGATCAGCCTATAAACTGTGGATTAATAATCTCGTTAGTTTCTTGCAAATGGAGTAATATTTACAACGACCAAATGTTCTATCAAAATCTTTAGAGAAAAGTTCATAATTTCACAAGCTGGGTGACTTTCAACTGCGAGTACTCCTCGTGCAATTGATCACTCACGGCCTCTTGAAATAGCCTTCCTCTAATTACATTGAAAATTATTTAAATTTCAAATTTCAGGAGCCTCGGATCATGTAATTAGTATTCATAGTGTCCTTAAAATGTCATTAGACCAAATAAGTTCTCCAAAAATTAAAAAAGCATACAATGCGTTCCCCAGCCCCCAAGGGGGGTAAGTAAATTCTTTACAAATATTATCAAACTCTGTGAACGTGATACATGGAAATTAGAAATATAAGGATAGTTTGGGTATTTAGTATATTCTTTATAAATAGGCGTAGTGGATTATTATGAATGAAATTAATCTCTCGCTTACTCTCTGTTCTTCTTTTGCCTCTCCTCTTTCTCCTTTTTTCTTTTCTATCTCTATCAAAGGTATCAGAGCCTTCTCTTTGGCCATGGAGGAGCCATCAGAGATTCGATCCTCCGATCATAGAGGTAGCACTGCCTTGATTTTAAGCAATCTATGTCTCACATTTCACAACAGATGAATGAAATTTCGACTAAGCTCACTCTACTTGTCAACTAGCGCTTGTACCCTCCTTCGATAATGACGACATCTGCGTCTAGTACCACCATTCCTCCTCAACCTTCAGTCACCAAAAAAACGATCCTCACAGTAGTCATAGAGTTAGGACAACTGAAGCACGTCTCATCTGTGACTGAGTACACACAGCAATTCTAAGAAATCTTACCGTATGCATACCTTCCAAAGTCCATCGCCATCAAGGTCTTCAACAAACTTCAGCCTGAACTCCAGAGATTTGTCCAAGGCTTCAATCCAAATAGTTTAGCTAGCGCCATATATATGGCGGATTTTCACGAGAAGTATAGCCAAAAGGGAAGCAAGACATGGAGAATGATGGTTTAACAAATGTAACTAACCTCGATAATGACTTTGATGAAGATGAAAAAGACGAACACAGAAGTGTAGAGAAGGAGTTCACGATTTAAGAAGCTACCGATCAAAAATTTAAACAACCAGAGCCGGCAAAGTCTACATGAATAGAAGATGCGACAATAATGGAAAACTCGGTGCTTGAGGAATGTGATTTTGTCAAGAAAGATGTGCATTCAACAACACTTATTAGCTCCCTAAATCAAGAACCAGGACAGTGTCTGGTATTAACGAGCCCATCTACACTCATCAACTCAAAGTAGTTGGAGCAGCCGATGCCTTAGACCTACTTAACAAGAGATTTTTGCACTATGCTTCCATCTTCAATTTTTAGGCCTTCTCTTCTTAGTATTCCAGTCGGTTTTTCACTACTTGCTATTATGCGCCTTACACAAGATAAGCAATCATCATCATCCAATTTCCAAAATAGAGCACAAAGATTCCTCAATGATTCCAATGGCAACGTTGGAGTCTCCCTTCCGTATCGAAAACTCAACACCTACAGTTGAGTTCTCAAACAATTCAACACCAGTGGCAAGATACTTTAGATTTCCTTCGAAAAATCTCATCAAACTCATGTTGTTGGTCCTTTGTTGTGTCTCCGTCATCGATGGAGTTCTAACCATTATACCGCAAAAGAATTCTTGATCAGACGTCGAAGGCGATAGAGAGCAAAACTGGGTAGAAATGTTGTTTTTGGTGTCGAGTCAAGCTCACCAGTAGTCACGCCTCCAAGATCTTCCCTTCTTAGGTTCAACGGCGCCACAATGTTCATCGTCCTGAGTGCATCTCCAGAATCTTCCACTCGCTATCGCCGCTCGATTGGGTTTACTACCTCTCCAAAACTTCTTGGGTCGGGTAGGGCTGTTGAAGACATTGGGTCCAGTGGTGTTCCCAAAGAGAATACAGAATTTGAGTTTTTTGGATTTTCTCTTGGGTCCGAGATCTCTCGGCAGAGTAACATGAACAGGCCGAATGTACAGGGTCATCAAAGCAGTGTGGATGTTTGGGGAAACGGGTCTTGGATCTCTAATTTAGATACACATGCAAGCTTCGCGAGTTTGGATGTTGCGGGTCGTGGATTTTCTTTCAAGTTTCTGGAATCTTCTCTAGCGGGGAGGACGTGCATCTACTCTGCGTTTCCACGATCAGGTTGCTCAATGCTGCTACTGCCAAGTGTATTCCAGATTTCCTCCAATTGTTCCCCACGTGACAGCAAGGGTAATGAAAAAGCATTTAATTTACGTTGGGTGGCTGAAGGCAACGAAATTCGGCCTTCCCAAAATGATCCAATAGTGCAAATATCTTTGACTAGTAATTGGAAGCTTGACGTGAGCCTCTGGACAAGCATGCTTCAGTGCCAATATATGGGACCCGTTGTTTCAAGTATGATTCAAATGCAATTATGGGTATTTTTACAACATTTTAAAGTGGGGTTAACCTATAATCAAGAGGAGCTTTGTGAAGTTGGGCTGAAAATGGGCTTATGGTGGGCGACGTATGGACCTATTATACAATTATGGATCCTCTACTCATTGGTTTTTAGCATCAACAATTTTATATGGAGGGGGTCAATGGACTTCTATATTAAAAGAAAACTGCAGAAAATCTAAGCTTTTGATGTTCATTAATTTTGTTTTTCAATTTTTTTTTTCCTCCAAGCTATAGTAACTTCAGGTCTAGTTTACCAACCAAGACAAAAAATCCTATTTTAAATATATGTTTGATTTTCTGTTTTTGTATTGATCCTTGAGGTCAAGGATCTCTTTTAAGGGGGAGTATATTAATAAATGGGAATTAGAAATATAAGTGTAGTTTGGGTATTTAATAAATTCTCTATAAATAGCCTTTTAAGTTGTAATGAGTTATTATGAATAGAATTAATCACTCTTTTTCTCTGTTCTTCTTCTGCCTCTCCTCTTTCTCCCTCTTTCTCTTCTACTCTATCAGAACGTCTAACTATCATTTCTCTCTGGTACGACCAACGGCCAACTTCCCCACGGCATTGAGTAAGAATTATTGCACAAAAAATAATAATAATAATAATAGACTACTTTTTTATTTAATTGTACAAAAACCATTTTTATCCGTTAAAAAAATTTTTAATTCTATTTTATTTAGCATATCAAATAATAAATTTCTAGACTTTGGAAACATTACTTCCTAGTTACCATTCCAACCAAAGCCCCCATCTAGGTTAAAAAAAAAGACAAGATCCCAATAATAGATAGTCGACATATGAAAGCCATGGGAGATTATTTGGGATTGGGACATCAAATTGACAATAAAATAGAACTTGTGATGCAGCACTAAGGAAATCGTGTAGAACTTCACTAAAAGGACAACTGAATAGGCTAAGGCTGGACCATTTACACACGACCCGAGGATTACCTTCTAATGCTCTGACACTGTTGAGAACACTTAATGCTCTGTTTTAACTCTCACATCTCCGTTAGGTAATGCACTTTGTGCCTGTGCAAGACGTTTCGTCTCCTGCATAAAACCAACATGCTTCAGATTGATGCCAACACAACACATTAATACCTTGTTTCTTGTAGTCGTAATTATTGCTAGGCACATTTTAGTAATTTAAATTTCTAACTACCCATTTTGCCAATTGAATTAATCATCCCACGCTTTGTATTTGCTCATATACAAAAATAGGCTTAAGTAACTTCTAGTTCCTCTAGTTCTATATTAACTTTTTAAGAGAAACAATATTGAACAAGTAAACACATGCAATACCTGTATTGGAAAACTTCATATCATGATCAGACAGAAATATAGAGTATATTTCATGGAGCTAAATAGTAAATCCATGGTATAAAGTCCAAGGCATGCAGATTCAAGGCAGTAAACGTGGAAAGGAAATGAAAAGCAGAATACAAACAAAGATATGAAATACAGTAAAATACTAGTGGCATGCACAAAGCACTATTAATATGAAATTATAAATGCCCCAAGGAATATAGCCCTAAACTCATTACAGATAAAAGCCCCGGAGTTCACCATTTTGGAACCTACAATTACATGATTGTCATCCGTTTCACCCCTTCTTAATATCTAAATACTCTACTGGTCCAGAGCTGAAGAAATTTGTTACCAATTCCCAAGCTAGATGAAGCTCATTTGTGACAATCAAAGCTATCCTACTCATAGCCTCCAACTTTACTTTCCCCAATGATGTTAATATGAAGATTGATTGCACTTCCTCAAGAAAATAAGAAAAGTTTGCCTAATTGAATTATTACGAGTTTTATCAACTCAAACGATCAATTGGTAAATAACTGCACCAAATCCTTCAGAGAGATATCAATTAGGGCTTGTTTGGTTCACCGGAAATAAGATCTAGGAAAAGGAAATGGAAAAGGAATCAATACATTCCTTTGAATTGTTGGTATGAACCTTAATGCTTTGGGAATTGAAATTCAGGGAAGAGAATAGAAATTTGGCTCCCACCTCAGAACCAAGGAAAATCATATTTTCCTAGGAAATTAATTTTGTCGACCAAAATACCCTCTGATTTCTCAGAATTCCAAGCTTTTCTCCATCATATCACAATCGCCTTTTGAGTCTCAACATACCTTCAAGTTTCTTCAAAGAAGCTTCTTCATCAGCGGCCATCTCCGATCAATGTCTCACCTTCACTAGCTTCAAATATGACAAGGCTCCATTGTTTGCTTGGTTTCATATCTGCTCCATCCAAGTTTTTCCCTCGTCCTCCATCATCAAAGCTTCTCCCTCCCTCTCAGTGAAAGCTTATCCCCATCCTTTGTTGTCCTGTGTTTAGCTAATACTGAATCAACAGATTTATTAATTTCGTTCTTCCTCTATCACAGATATAGGTTCTGATGTTCTTCCTCTTCTCCCTTGATCATATTGACCCTGAAACCTTGATTTTTTTTTCCCCTACAAATGAAGATTGATGAAGGAGATGAGATGAAGATTGGTGAGATGGTTGCAAGTGTTGCCTAAGATGAAGATCCATGATTTGTCCTCCACCTTGATTTGTTGTGGAAGATGCCAATGAGAAGGATGAAGGGGGAGATGAAATTTATTAATTTATTTTATTTTTAGTGAGAGTAACAGGTGATGCCTTGATTTATTAATTTATTTTTTATAAGGGTATTATTGTATTTTAATATTTTTGGGTAGCAGGATTTCATTTAAATTTTCCTATGTACTAAACTATACTTTTAAACCCAATTTATTTTCCTTTTCCAAATCCACATCCATTTCTAATTCCATTTCCAATTCTATTTCTGTCAAAATGCTTCTAGTGAACCAAACAGGCCCTTAAACAAACTGCAAGGAACAGGCAAGCAGTATCTTGTGCCGCTTGCAAGTGAGGTGCAGAGAATCTGTTTTAAATGAGAACAAGTAGCAGAATTAATTGTAAATTTAGCCTAATCTGTATTTTTTTTATATCAATAAGTTGTATATTATTTATTGCTCCATAGTTTATTTAACACATTTTACAGTCTTTTCCCTATCATGAATAAAGCACATAGAGCAAATTATCTTAGGCTTACCAAAGTAAACTCTCTTTCAGTCTCTACTATTATCCTGCGAATTTCAAGTTTTATTGTTATCACAAGATTCTTTTAATTTAGCTGATAGTGAAGTCAAAGGATGGGTAGGGACCAGCTCATTTCAGCAGACCCGGTATACATAAATCCCCAGAAATCAGCGTTGTTTGAAAATTCAAGGCCACTTAAAGTTAGTTTCACAGTGAGAACTCAAGTAGTCAAATCAATGGTAAGATATACCTCAACCACCCCATCATCCCTTCTTTTCCCTATTTCCTCAAATTAAGGGACTAATTTGTGATGGTATAACAAGTGATCAAGCTTAGGGAACAAACTCAGAAAGTCATGTTTTGTTCCACAATTGAAAATATGAAGGGGCCAAGGTAAAAAAAAAAATATACTTACAGCAGCAGTAGTTGCACGACTCTCTCTATAAGCTTCGACCTCGTTGGGGAAGTTTTGCTCCAATTCTTCCAGAAGATGCTTGCGTAAACTCTGCTCGCAACATAATAGCCAAGTTGGACTAAAGAAACTTATAAATGATGGCATGAAATGTAAAATGAAAGACATCCAAATCCATAGATATTAAGAATTAAATTCAACCTTCAAAGCATCAGATTTTCCTTTGGTGATTTGATTTTTCGCAATGCAATTCATTATCACATCCTTTGTAAATTCATCTGGATTCTTGCCATCATCAATTAAACTAAACCCAGCAGCAAAGTAACAAACAAGGTTAAACAGTAAAAAGCTTATACAAGGATGTAAATAAACTAAGGAAGAACATTCAAAGGCAAAGAACTCACTTGACAACCTCCATAGGAACCTGAATGTTGCACTTCCCAGCCATTTTGACCATATTGTCAAGCTCCAAAACAAGACCATTTCTTGAAATTAAAGTAAAATATGATCAATATAACTTCTTTCAACCATAGTAAAAAAAAAAAAAGGAAATAAGAAAACGGGCATTAGAAGAAAAAGATGGAAGAGAAGTACATGCGTTGGAGGAGAGGCATTTGAAAGGCAGGATTGTAGGTAGAGACAGTAAGGTTAAGCTGATGAATGAGGCCCAAGGTTTTTTGAATGGAGTTGATAATCTGGTTTAGCTTCTGCATGGAATCATCAGCTGCTGATGCAGGAGACGATGTATCTTTTGTTTGAGGGACCAGCATCCCATTGCCACCACTTCCACCATTCCCTCCTGTAGTTACAGTACTCTGGGATGACTCCATTTGTGTATTGTCTAAAAAACCTCTGAAAAAGCATCGAAAATTGTGTATTCAAAAATAAACAATCATGACAACAAACTGTGCTGAAATTTTTAATTAACATAAGGAAATAATGAAAACATAAAGCTTTGTACTCTTGTACACCTAGAGACACAGTGGTATCACCCTTATTTTACGGCAAAATAAATCCATATAAACGATAATTCTTCAAGAGGAAGAGAATTGCTAAAACTAATGTTAATGAAGACAGAAGAATAATAAAGAGTTACTAGTAATTATTTGTTACATAAGAGGTGAAGATAAGGATAGAAACAGAAACTGATATTTCAATTACTTGTTTGCTATCTTAAATAGCATTGGTTATCAACTGAATTCTCATTTCTTAGGCTTTAATGGTTATTCCTTTGATAGGATTGGGATGTAGTATTTTTTTAAAGTTTATTAGGAGTTATCTCTTGGGCTTTATACAAAGCCCTGAGAAGTACAATTAAGAGAATATGACCTTTGATTTGGCAATAAAGTATTTTTGAATGCTCAACAACTTTCCTCCTCTTATCCCCCCCCCACCAAATTGTCCTCCATCTCCCTCCTTCTCCTTCTCACTCTCTCCTTCCTTCCTCTAATGTCCTACATCAAATGAAAGATGGTTAATGATAGTTAGCATCTAGAACTGTTTAATAATGACAAGCTCCCAACTCTAGATAATGACTACTCACATGAGGAGAAAGATGATCATGTCCTGAAATCACAATAGCAGCAAGCCACAACCAAAATACTATTCAGCATTGAAACTTGTACGTACGTTGAAAACAAGTGACTCCAATAAGAAAAGCAATCAAACTACTTCCATTTCAGGATATCCTTTGCGAGCCATAATTGGTTTGATTTTCACGGTCTGCATGTATCTAATCTGTATACCATTTCTTATTCTCTCGTGTACTTTTTCACTTAGCAAGCTGGCCTCTCCCACTGAGTGCAGCGCATCACAAACCAATCTATATGTATATTCTCTAGGCATTGAGCCTCCATCAACCAACTCAACAAGGAAATTACAAGCATCAACAACTTTTCCAACTTCACACAAAGCGTGAATGATAGGGGTATAAGAACTGGAAGTGGGCACTCCATGATTCAAATTCTGCATACACCGTAACATCTCAATAGCATTATCTATCTCATTTACAACACTATAATATCTAATGAAAGAATCATACGTAACTCGATTGGGGACACAACCTCTTTTCTTCATATCTTCAAATAATTCCAATGCTCTACCAATCCTATATGTTTTGCAACAACCATCAATCAAAGCATTATAGGTCACAACATCAGGAACAAAGCCCTTGAAGAGCATCAGGCGAAACAGATGGTTAGCTTCCCACAATCCCCTCCTAGTTGCCTTCCCGCTTCCAGTTTGCATGCTAAATTTGCAATAGGAACTTATTAATATAGTGTAAGTAAATGTATCAGGTGGGCATCTAAAGCCAGGAAGCTCCATCTGCTTCAACAAAAACCTTGCATTTTTGAAATACCTCACCCTGCAGAGAGCATATATCATAGTGTTGTAAGCATAGACATCTGGCTTACAGTGGTATTGCTTCATCCTATAGAATGTAACTAATGCTTCATTGACTAATCCCTCTTCTCCTAGTACTTTTATCAAACATGTAACAGTAGCTGTGGTAACCAACCCATCACTCCTCCTTGACATCTCCTTCAAAAAATCCCAGAGAGCATTCAGTTTACTCCCTTTAGCCAATACACAAGCCATCTCCCTGCAAGTGGTCTCATTATGGGTAAATCCAAAATGGGTTTCGACCCAATAGTAGAACTCGATTGCTTTGCCCAATCCAAGCTTGACCATCTTGGGGTCTCTGTAAGCAGCAGGGCCAAGAACAAGCACATTCTTGCCAAGCTTATCTTCTTCCTCCTTGAGCTTGCGTTGTTTCAGAGGAGCACGATGCCGGAAACCTCCCTGACGGCCAATGGAGCGAGAGGATTGGAAAAGGTATATTGGAATAGACCTTAGCACTTCCAAAACCACATCAACCGTCCATAAAGAAGCAACGTTAGGATTGGCAGAAGCTGATGCAGCAGCTAAATGGGTATCAAAAGGACGATTTTGAATCACAATGACAAGGACCTGGTTCACGAGGTGTTTACGATACTGATGCATGGGATTTCCTGGCATCAAAAATTTCATTATCATGCAGCAATGAAGACCAAGTAATACCTAGCCTATATGGGAGAGAAAATGTCAGCTCTGAAGGCAAGGAAAACAAGATCACAAACCATGCAATCAAAATCAAGATAACAATGGAAAGGGATTATATAGTCAGCCTACACAGGTTTAATAGCTAAAATTTTCACACAGAGGGAAGAATTTCAGGGTCGTAATTGTCAACTTCACAGGACTAAATAAAGTAGAAGATTGTAGCAAGCTGCTTGTGAATGAGTGATGCCAACTTCATGATCTTCAACATTAGAGCTGGGGATACAGGCTACGGGCGCGCAGCTGGCCGTTGCTTGGCGGGTTGGGTGCAAGCCAGACCGCCAAATATAAGGGCTGGGAAATCCCAGCCCAGCCTGTACAATGGCAGGCTGGCGGGAGCGCAGGCCAGCCGCGAAATGCACCCCTGTTCTGTTTTTTCTTTTTTCTCAACACCATGTTCAAAATTGATAACATTAGAAGTTTCTTTCTCCATCATCAGTATTAGCAGCAGCAAAACTTGCATTTTCTAACTCATCATCATCAGTTCCAGATTCTAGTAAGTAGTAAAAGAGTTCACTTCCAAGTGCCAACAGTCAGCTACCACAAATCAGAAATTGATATGGTCTTGCTATCTATTAACAACGATTCACTATTTGAAGCAAAAAAGAAAAAAAAAAACAAACAGAAAGAGAGAGAAGTGAGATACCCGTGACTAGAGCCGGACTGAGGTGAGGCGCGAGGAATGGATCGAGACTCGTGAGGAGCAGAGCAGAAAGTAGTCGAAAACGGAAGACCAGAGGGAGCGACCTACAGAGATCTGAATATGATTCAGAGTTCAGACTAGCAAGGAAGCAGGGAGGCAGGGACGAACGCGAGGCAAGAGAGAACGAAGGGTCCACGCCCTCGGGGGCACAGCGCTCGTTACTCGGAAGGGCACGAAATTACACGTCGCCGGTCAGGGACTCAACCGCTCGTCACTCGGAAGGTTTCCTTACTTTTTAACATAGAGGGGCTCAGGTTCATGAGTGAAATAAGACAGGCTCAGACAGTCAGGTTAGGGGTTAAAAAATAAAAATAGAAATAAAGGGATTAGCCGCTTATCGAACCAGCCCGTTTTCACAAACGTGCCCATATCACTGCCCAGCCCGCCAAATTTGGCGCATTAGCCCGTTCGGTTAGGCCGTTTTCATGGGCTTTATACTCAACTAGTATGCGTCCCATCGCAAGGGATGTGAAATGATAAATAATAATTTAAATAAATAATAAAATAAAGTTAAATTATAAAATTATATTATTATAATTAAATTTTCTTTTAAATTAAAGTAATTGGTGTTTAAATTTAATTTTGGAAAAATAACAATAAAATTCCTTTAAATTATCTAAATGATATATTGGTCCCATGAAATGGTATAATTCTCCTAAAGTCCCAAGGGACGTTTATGTCATTAGAGAATTATAAAAAATGATACTTTTTTCCTTTATTCAAATTTAAAAAATAACATCATTTCCCTTATTTCCTCCATTTCATTCGTGCGCTATGCTCTGTCTCTTTATGCCCTTATGTGTCGCTGCAATTGTGTTTCCATCGTCGTCTTGCTGTCGTAGTGTTGCTATAGCCCAGCATTCGGCATTCTCATATACAATTTGCTTTACTTCTAGCAACTTCAACCTTCTCAGTGTTCCTGGTAATGGGTCTATCATCGTGGGTTTGTGGTTGTGTTTGTGTTCCCGATAGCGAGTCTAACAACTTCTCTCCCTCTCTCCCTAGTCGTACTTGATTTAGGTATTTATTCCTCCTCTCAGCTTCCATAAGAATGTGATTGTGGGTCTGAATCTGAGTTTTATGTGTCTGTAAAAGGCAGTACTGCTACTGCATCTTTATGTACAGTATAGATATTCAAAGGCATGTGTTTGTGAACATGATGAAGTCATTATTCTTGAAGCCTATACTCTCATCAAAGTCTAAATGTAGAATACAGAAAAACCTTTTTCATGCGATGAATTTGTTGTCTCCCTTACTTGAATTGGATTCTCTTGAAACCCTTCAAAATTCATGAGTACTGGAGGTGAATGGAAAAGGAATGTTTTTCTCCATTACAATGACTCTGTTTTCTTATTCAGAGTAGATATGTGATTCCCATAATTTCCACTCCTTCAGTTCTAGACTATTGAGTGTACGCCATAATGAAATTGGTTCACGTTGTGAATCAAATGCTAGTTGCAAGCATATTTGCTTTACCTATTTTACATTAACAAATGAAGAGATTGATTTATTTTAAAGTTTCAAACTTTTTTTAAGGTGCTCATTCTGATCAAATTCTTGCCTTTTATTGCATTTCCATTAGACTCAAGATGTTCAGATGTAGAGATAAGGTCAAATAAGAATATAATATGTTCTGAAATCATGTCTTTCGGTGATAAATAAAATTAGTGCAAAATAATAAGGAACTCTGATTTATGTTCTTGAAGCCTATATTCTCATCAGAGTCCAAATGCAGAATACAGAAAAATCTGTTTGGTTTCTAAACTATATGAAATTTTTTTTCTAAACACCATATGTAGACTTCAAGTTATTGGTAAAAGATCTTCATGTGAAAATGTGTCATGTGTAACATCCTGAATTTCTTAATCCCGTGATTAGTGGTTAATTGAAGTAAAGTGGTAATTTGTGTAGGATTAGAGATTTGGATGTTTACTTGATGATTCAGCTTGTTGGTGTGTTGTATGGATAGATAAGGGTGAGAGTAGTGCATTTTGAGTAGAAGTAAATACGTGTGGTAAGAATAAATCTCACTGTGCCACGTACCGTGGCTTATGCTACATGCACTGCATTGCATAGACCAAAAATTGCCTTCACAAATCATGAAATTTTAGAAATTTTAAAAAGGTAAAATTTGAAACACACGAAAGGAGAGGAGAGAAAGTGAAGGGTGTGCTAGGGCAAGTCATTTCTGAGTAGTGAAAGGTGCTTCTGATCGATTACTTGTCAGGTAAGCTACGTATAACTCTTATCTTCCATTCTACACAATTTTTTTTTTAAAATGAGTTGTAGGGAAATTAAATCGGTGAAATTTGAGGGGTTTGATTCTTTCCTAATAGTAATAAAAAGGATCTCGGAAGTTAAATTAGAGCTTTGCAATTGGTTTAAAGCTGAACGATACAGTTTTGAACCTATAGGCTCAATTTGACCTTAGAGAGAGAAGGAGTTTTAGGACAAAAATCTAATTTTTGTGAAATAAGATGAGTTGAGGTGATGTAAAGTATAATTGGTTAGTAATGGACCTAAAATGGATAAATGAAAAAGAATTTATGAATGAATATAGCCTTAAGTAGTAAAAAATAATTTTTTGGTCAAAATGGACTAAATAACTAAAATGTGCCAATTGTGTTCAGATTGACATATTAGACATGTGAGTAGAGAAAGGAAGCTTGAGATAAGCTATTGTAGTAGTTGAAATCCATGGGTAACTTTTCTAGTGATAGAAGGGTTGAGGTAATCTAATAACTTTCTTTGGTTGACTGTTTATTATAACTGTATGTTAATATGCTATGTACTGCATGAAATGGTTTTAAACTAAACATGTTTTATAGCATTGTGTGATTGTTGTGTGAAATGGCTTTTAGTTGAAATAAAGCTTTGAAATATGTGATTTCAAATGGAATGTATTATATATATATATATATATATATATGCTATGTTTGAAAAATGAGTAAAATGGTAAATGAGAACTGTAACATCCCAAAAATTTTCAGACTCGTATTTATTTTAAAAATAAAATAAAATATCTATAATCAAATTAAAATTTAAAATAATTTAATAGAGGTTCAGAGTTTGAATTTTTCTCATCAAAAGTTTAGTTTTATTTTATTTTTAACTATGAAAAAATTACCAAAGTTGACCCGGGCTTTTGTGCTATAATAAAAAAAATGTTGGGCCATTTCTTGTAATTTTTCTCAAAGTGTTAGATCAGTATTTTAAAGGAAAAACCGAACGCAGAAACACAGAAATGAAATAAGGAAAAGAACAAAGAGCGCACGAGAGAGAGAATGGATAAGAGAGTGAGAGAGGAAGGAAGAGATGGAGTTAGAGCTCGAATTTGGGAGGCTTTGCAACCATTGCAAGGTCGGCTACATGATAGGTAAACTCCCTACTTCAATCCTCTTCCCTTCCTCTTGATTTTCTTCAATTTTTGAAAGAGGGAATTTTTTGATTTTGATCCAAAAGACTTTATGCTTTTAAGCTTTAGTTTTCTTGGGTCCTTGGGAGGTTATTTTAAGTTTCTACATGATGCCCTAATGTTTTGAGCAGGTAATTGGATGAAAAATGGAGTTTTAGGGCAAAAGTCAAACCCCAAGAGGGTGGGTTTTGCTCCTCAATGATTTAAGTTTATTGATTTAGTTATAATTTTGCTATTTGAGCCCAATAAGATTTAAATTAAGGTTTGGCTTTTATTATAAGGGCTAATGGTGAAAGTTGGTGACACTAAGTGAAGGTTTTTAATTCATTAAAAATTATATAAATTGAAAATTAGCCTAGTGATGGCTAATAAATGATTTTGGTGGTTAAGTGATACTATGTGAATGGTCAGTTTAATATATGGTTCATTAGGATGGATTATGACTCATTGACCCAAGTTGTGTGGTATAAGTTATAGTCTTCATTAATGCTATTGGTCATGATAAGTGATATGGATCACTTATATGTCGTAGGAATTGTTGGTGGAACTTACTGAGAAGTTAAGGAACAAGCCAAGTCCTATTTTATACAAGAGAAACCTTTTTGATACCAAAGGGTTGAGGTAACAGGGGAATTTATATTTCTTATTGCTTTGTTTAGCTATTTTTGAGTAGATAATATTATCTAGCATGCATTACATGTTTTAAACTATTGAATGCAAATAAAATGTGCTTTGGAAGGGTTTATGGGGTATTGCTTTAATAATAATGCATCTATGTTTACTATCTATTTAATAATGATGTTACTTATAGAAATAAGATTATTAGCATGCATTGTGATCATAAAAAAATGAGGAGTTGCACTTAGGGAAGCACAATTAGGTTTGGTACCTTAGATAGGTTAAGAAACCACTTAAAGGATGAATTATGAGTATCATACTACCTTGAGTGTTGAAGTGGTCAATACTCAAAAAAGGTAGAAAAAAGGGTAGGAGGCATGATCTCGGTGGGAGTTCACCAATGGGAAGATATGGTCTTGTGATATTCTATGGCTCACTGTCAGTACTCAGTGTTGCCTTTCATATTGTGGGCTCAGTACACTAAAGTGGTTAGTGGATTGAGTATTCGACACCTCTCAGTGGGAGAGGGAATCTGGCATATGAAGTGTGAGGTTGAGTGCCTAGGCCAAGGTAGCCCTCACATAGAGAGTAAGTCAGGCTGGCTCTAGGAGGGAGTTAGTTTGAGAATGTGACTATGAAGTATAAGCAATATGTATTTGGAATTTGGCTTTATATGAGAACAAGTATGAGAAAATAGATTGAAATGTGAATATGCCCAAGTTTTGTGAGAGGGGCAGTTTATAGGTTAATTGTGTGTATGTGCATTATATTTTGTATATAACTGCTCAATCAGGTATACATTATCTATTTGGATATGGTCAAGGCCCTAAAAGTAACTAATGACATATGGTTTTGATTGGTGATGCCTTAGTGGTAAATTTTGACATAAAAAAGTCAAAATGCACTTAGTGTCTGAATTTTATACAAAGTATCAGATTGAAACAAAACTAATGTCATTAGTTATATTTTGAAATAAGTTACGTGTAGGAACTTGAATCACCCCAATCGAACATTGGATATGAAAACAGCGCACTTCCAAAGTTCGTATCAA